CATCATTCCTGCTGGGATGTCAGGGATATGCTGTTAGGAGACAGAGGGGGAATAGCATTTACTACCTCATTTCCTGAATCGGGGCCTGCTCTGGGGCTGTCTCGGCCAGGAGCAGGGTCTGGCACCAGCTGCTGTGAATGCACAAGTGAGGCACTGGTCCTCCTGCTGAGATCCTGAGTTCAGCTCCAGAGAGGACAGAGCCAGCTCCTGGGCTCTACATGCCTCCAGGCTTGATGCCAAGAGCTAGATGAAGAGAAAGACTGGGATAGAAAGTAATCCCATGAGTTCTGGTCCCTGCCTGCCCCCAGAGTGATGCTGTCATCAGAGCAGGGATGTGAGCTGGGCCTAATGCCACCATATGCTCTGCAGGTGGAGTTCCCACTCTACAATCCTGTCTCCTACTCGGCTAACCACAATGATATGGCTGTGCAGGACCCGTTCAGCCTGTGAGTGTCCTCCCCAGTCCTTTTCCTGAAGCTCCTGCTCCTTTCCCCTGCCCTGACTATTTGTATCCTGCTGTCCAGGTCCTTAGAGTCACTCCTGAAGATAAATTACAATGCCATGGATGGGCTGATCAACCGGCAGAGCTTCCACGGCCTCTATGCAGTGCAGGATGGGCTGCCACTGTGAGTCTGTTGCCCAAAAGGATGGATGGGTGAAGTGAAAATAGGGAAATGGGAAACATGTGCCTAGGGCCCACACGCCTGTGCTACCAAGAACCTTTGCAAAATACCATTAAAGCCAAAAAATGCTGTCCTGGCCATATGTGACAGGAGGGCCTGGGTGTATCAAATATACCTTCCATTTTCCAAGCAGCTAATGGTTGAGCATGGAAATAATACATTTTATTCAGGGCCTTTCCAAAGCATCCCCAGAAGCTCAGAACACTAATGGTGCTGTGCTGGGAAATTCTAAGTTTAAGCAACCTCACAGTCTGAGGTGAGGCACCCTGATGCCTTCTCTCATGCTTTCTCCCTGCTAGGAATCCCATGGGCAGGACGGGTCTACGAGGCCGTGGGAGCCTGCACTGCTTTGGACCCAACCATGCCCTGCACCCAGTTGTGACCCGGTGAGTGCATGGAATCTGTGAGGGGTGCTGCTCCAGGACTGGTGTCGGGAAGTGGTGCCAGGGGTGCAGGTGGGCATGGGGACACAAAACTATTCCAGGAAGATGGGGTTCTCTGGTAAATCTCTTTGCTGCCCTCTCAAAGTGGGAACCTTTGCCAACATGCTGGGAAAGGGGGAACCAAGTTCTGCTGCAGAGTCACAGGGCTCTCTCTCACAGCTGGAGGAGGAATTCAGATGGATCCATTATCAGGAAGAGCTTGAAGAAGATGCTGGAAGTCTTAGTTGCCCAGTACCCCCTGTCGGACGTCTGGGCGCTGCCTGGGGTAAGAGTTAGCTGAAATCCTCTGGCTCAGAAGAGTCCATGTAGGCCAGGGGCCCACCTGAGCCCAAGATCTGCTGGCCTAGCAGATGCACTTTGGGGGAAAAAAAAAAAAAAAGAAATGGAAGTGGATTTCATAGACCTCTGTCTGATGAGGTCCCTTCTGCCCACAGCAGTGTGTGGCCACAGGGTCTCTGATGCACCAAACTGGCTGCAGTGAGGGAGGGAGGGCTGCCTTGGCCCATGGTCAGGCCCCTCTGGTGACATCTGCTTTGGTGCAGGGGTCACTGGAGCCGGGCGAGCTGCTACCACTGAAGCTCAAGTGGATCCTGCGAAGGGAGTTCTGGCCCCAATTCCAGAACTTGTTGAAACAAGGCACAGAGGTACGGGGCCATAAGGTGTCATGGCACTACGCGAGGCTTACAGAAGTAGGGCAGCAGTGTAAAATCCCTTTTTGCCAATGCTCATGCAGAGCCCTCGGGCTGGGGTAGGAATAGTTGGTGGAGGAGGAACAGCACGATGGCCTGAGACCATTTCCAGATCTGAGAGGTACCAACCCATCGTAGCAGACTGGTGGGCGCATGCACCCACTGCAATCATTTTTCATGGCTGTAGCTCAGAGGACACATAATGCAAACAGGTCACAGCTCTCCAGCAGAGGAGAGAAGTGGTAAAGCAATATCCCCTCCACCTCAGCACATGCACCCAGTTGGTTATGAGATTCATGGGACCTCTCGGTGCTGTCGGAGAAGTGTCCAGGGCTCTGGTAATACAGCAGTCCTCTTCCATGCACAGATACATAAGGGGTACCTCGACGATCCCCGCAACACGGACAATGCTTGGGTTGAGACTGTTGCCATCAGTGTGCATTTTGATGACCAGAACAATGTGGAAATGAAGCGGATGAACTCGGTAAGGGCTTCTTGCCTCCATAAGTCTTTAACCTGTCTCTGAGCAAGCATGGAGCAGATGGGACCACAAGCAAGGCAGATCCGCCCACCAAATCCATTTGGTTTCAGATCTTACCCTCATCAAGGGTGGATTTCTCCAGCTGCATGAGCTTTCTCCATGCAGCAGAAATATATCATGGGGTAACAAAGCAATGGAGAATCCCAAAAGAACAGGCAGGAGGCTGGGGGCTGGACAGATGTGCCTGCTATGCCTTCTTGCCTGCAGCATGCAGTATCTTTTGTCCCTTTCAGTTCCTGCAAGGCTGTGATCCAGAGCTGTGCATCCGCTGGCAGGTCCTGGACAAGAGGATGCCTCTGCATGCCAACCACAAGTTGCTCCTGCACAAGGTCTCAACCCTCCTAGGCTCCTACTACTGAGTCCTCCAGAATACCCCAGGGCTCCTGCTGCCCTGGACCAGAACCCTCTTCGGGACTATCCCCAGCTTCGCTCTGAGACCAGGGGCAGCTGATGGAGACAAGGTCTTCTCTCCCTTCATGAATGTACATGTCAGGTCTCTGGGAGAAGAAATGTCCTTTGCCCACCACCATTCACTGCATCCACCACCAAGCTCTTGGGCACAAGGGCTGTCAGGGCAGTGACCATGCACCATGCTGGTCACTGCTGGGGCTGGAACCCCATGGACCCATCCTTTGAAGGAGCAGAGGTCAATTCTAGCCCATCTCTTGGTGCTTCCTCATCGGCCAAGCCAAGTCATTAGCCCAGGGACAAGCAGATTCCCAGGACCATTCCTGTAAGGCTTCCCTTCGCTCAGTGAGTTTATAGCTTCATGCCTCCAAGCAGGTGCCCCACATATGCCGTGCTGTTGCCTGACCCTGCCTGCATACACCGAGTGCCATGTTGTAGCTGAATTCCTTCCTTCTGTGCAAGCCAAAGCATGGATGTCCTGTGCTAAAGGTCACCTGCCTGCCCCAACTCCTCACACAGGTGAGAGAAAATGGACAACTTGCTGGGACTCAGGTGGTCATGCTCTGTGGCCCCTTGGGCGAGAAGGGACCAAAGAGGGAACATTAGCGGGACCATCTCAGATATCTCTGCTCTTAAGGGGTCCTTCTCTGCTCTTAAGGGGTCCTTCACTTTTACCTTTTCTGATGCCTGGTGAAAGGAGAACATGACACAGTGGGGACAGTCTCCAGGGGCTCTTGATAACCTCAGAACAGTCCCATGGGACTGGTTACTATGCTCAGGGAGGGATTTTCCTTCCTCTAAATCCTCCCAAAGGATCAGACATTGGGCAGATGGAACTATCCTTCCCACGCTGGTGGCCATCACAGCACAACTGCAGCTTTGCTGGTGATGCACTGGGACTCAGTGAGATGGGCAGGCAATTTAGTCAACCCAGCTCAATAAACTGTTCATTAAATAATTATCAGCTGTGGCGTTACAGCTGTTTAACCAGCGGACATGCGCGGAGGCCGCGTTCAGAGCAAACTCCTGGGGTGAGCCCAGTTTGCACATTCCCAACCTTCAGCTCCCAGCACCGCCCCGGCTCCCCGCCGCGCCGCCCCGGGCCCCGGTGCCGCCCCGGCACCAAGCCAAGGACCGCCCGTCCCTGGGCCACAGGCAGCAGCAGCCGCAGCAACAAGTGGGGACAGCACCTCGCCTGCCGCTGGTACCGGTGCCGAGCCGGAGCCGCGCGGAGCGGGAGCCGCACGGAGCCGAACCGCCCCGGGAGCAGCAGGTAAGAGGCTGCCCAGGGTGAGCGGCCGGGAGCGGGGAGTGCTGGTGCCCAGGGATGCTGATGTATTAAAGGATGCTCTTTATCAGCGGGACAAAGGTACCCAACGGATGCTGGTACCCGAGGGAGGCGGATGCCTTACGAGTGCTGGTACCACAGGGAGGGTGTCTTCTCCCACAAGACTTTCTGCGTGCTGCTCACTGCCCGGCTCATCTGCTGAGCTCGCCATGGGCAAGTTCATCCCTGGGGAAAAGGCTCCATGAGGCTCACAGGGTCCCTTCCCACCAACAAGCCCCTCTGTGGAGGTCTCTTAGGTCTCTTACCCCCAGCTCGGCTGCAGCAGCAGATGTATGTGGTGAGGTTTGTGAGTCCTGGATCACCCCCATTACCGTGATATTCAGTGGCTCCTCTCTAAGATACGGCTCCTGGAGTCAAATATTTATCCATACTGTTCATTTATATTTTTTAAAAAAAATGAAGGATAGAAGAGCACTCACTTCTTAATCCTTCCTTTGACAAAAGCCCTCAGAAATATGACTCGTACCAGCTCACAGATGGAGAAAGCAGAAGAGCTCCTGATCTTGTTATTTAAAAACCCAGGGGTGATTAAGCTGCTCTGATGATCTGGGGAGTCTGAGTCATTGGTTTTATTTTAACGCCTGCCTTGGAGTGAGATGGGAACTTGCCACTGCTGTTCCCCAGCAGCAAATCACCACACGCCGTGCGCTCCCAGGCTGCGCCCAACTCGGCACCCGCATCCAACAGCAGCCTTTTGCCCACCCGGGTGGGAAGTGCAGGGAGCAAGTGGAGAAAAAGGAAGGGGGGGGTCCCTGCTGCTCTCTGTCTAGATGCAATTAGTCTGAAGCCTATTTATACTGTCCTCAGCATCATTAAGCCAGGGCTCCAGAGCCCAACCTCTCCTTGCTTTTTCAGGGCACATAATGCATCAGATGTAAGAGGGAAGGAATAATGCCGTGTCACCTCCTGCCCTCCGCTTCCCTCCGGCAGTAGGAGAGGCCTTTGCAGGAGCACAGAGGAGATGCCCTGCCAGCCCAGAGTTCCTCCAGCTACTGAGGCGTTGCTAGCAGCCATGCCGAGCTGCCCGGGTGCAAGATGACGCTCACCATCGTAGCAGCAGGCAGAGTCACCCAGGCTTTCATTTGCTTCCTCCTGTGCCTCTCCTGGGGCAGCTCCTGCCCTCCGAGCTGCCAGTGCACGGAGCGGGCAGGGGCGAAGGCTGTCCTCTGCAGCGCCCAGCACTTGGAGGAGATCCCCAAGGACATCCCCCAAGATGCGGTGTTCCTCAAGCTGGACGCCAACAGCATCACCAGGATCCCCAGCAATGCCTTCAGGCACCTGTCCCACCTGGAGGAGCTCGACCTCTCCAGGAACGCCATTGAGAAGATCGACGGGGCGGCTTTCAAAGGGGTGGCCGCTGGCCTGCGCACCCTCGACCTCTCCAGCAACCGCATCCGCAGCATCCCCAAAGAGGCTTTGCTGATGCTCAATGCCAAGCTCCGGCTGGCCAACAACCCCTGGCATTGTGAGTGCACCTTGCAGGAGGTGCTGTGGGAGGCACGGCTGGACCCCGACTCCGTCCAGGACATCACCTGCCACACAGCCCCACGGGAAGAATATGTGGGGAAGCCGCTGCTCCAGGTCCTGGATGCTGGTGTCAACTTCTGTAGCGTGCGCCAAAGGACCACAGACGTGGCCATGTTCATCACCATGTTTGGCTGGTTTGCCATGGTAATCGCCTACGTGGTCTGCTATGTCCGACACAATCGAGAGGACACCCGCAAGCACGTGGAGTACCTGAAATCTTTACCAAACACCCAGAACCCTGCAGAGACCATCAGCACTGTCCTGTAGCACAAAGCTGGGGTGCCTTGCTCCCAGCTTCTCTGCAGAGAACCTGCAAACCAGTGACCACCTCAGCAGGGATGGAGGTCTGGAGCCAACTCCAGCAGCCACGGAGCAAGCCTGGGAGAGTGATGTGATGGGGGATGCAGACGGATGTGCAGGGGACACCAGTGATGCAGATCTGCCTGTGGAGCACAGAAGCCTGGGAAGAACATCTCCCCGGTGTGGAGCACCCTTTTCCCCCACAGGAGCACTCACTGCCAGCCAGGCTAGCAGGTAAACACCCCAGCCACACCACTTGTGGTGGACATGGTTTAAGGACAACAGATCCATGGGAGACACAGATGGCCTTCACTTTGCCACTCAGAGGAAAGCTGTGGTCCCTAAAGTCTGCAGTGGAGAGGGACAGGCTGGTCCATGCAGCAGGATCATCCCATCATGGCTCCAACCGGCCTTGCAGAGCGCAGGACGTCATCCCTAGCACCCGCAGTATCTTGATAGCTCCCAGCAGTGTCAGGATGTTCTCCTAAACTTCTGTTTCCTCAATAAAGCCCTGTATCTGGGAAAAGTCCCTGGGATTTCCTTACACGGGAAGCTGGGCATGTGGGAGACAGAGTGCAGATGGGGAGCTAGAGGTCTGAACCTCCCCCGCTGTCAGATTCCCCAGGCAACCTCTCCACCCTTGGCTCATCCGGCTTCCAGAGGTGAGTCCTCCCTCACAGGCTCGCCCCAGGCTCCAGGAACGGTCCTCAAGCTTTTGCATCCACCTACATCCCATCTGGAAAGAGAAACCAGGTGTTCTGCCCCAGAGATGAGGGAGGGAGGGTGATGGTGCTCTTGTCTGAAGCTCTAAAATCAATGCAGCAGCTCAGCTCCCATTAGATTAAATCCTCTCGTGTTTCGAGCAGGGGCCAGCAGGCTTGCTCTGCAGACAAAATCGTGTTTCTGCATCTCGCTGGGTGTAGGGACAGCTCACCCTGTCTCACCTTTCTTCCGTCTCGGGGCTGAATTACAGATGCTGCTCTTGGCTCAGAGCAGTGGGACCAAATTGAATTCTGCCTCGCTCAGAGGCAGGAGGAAATGAGCCTTCCCGGCAAAGCGAGGCTTATCTGCCACTGGGCCAGAGGGCTGTGCTGTCAGCGAGAGGTGATGGAGCAATCTGCAGGGGCTGGGGAAATGGGCCCCCTTTGGCCTGGATCCCAAGGTGGATCAGGAGTGCTTTCCTCACAACACTCTTCCCTGGGGATTTGCACTTCTCGTGGTCTTTCCACAGCTGTCTGGGATCCAGGTTGTGGTCTCTAGCCTTGAGCAAGAAGCCCAGAGGCTGCGAACAGCTGGGCAGTGCTATGGATCAGCTGGGAGAGGCAGGAGGAGCCATGTTTGGTCAAGGCAGAGGGTCACCTTCACCCAAGCACCCTGATGTACTAAGAACTGCTTCATCCTCATAGGCAACTGGTGTCCCTGGTCAGAGCTATCAGTGGGCAATTCTAGAGCTGGTCTCTGGGAGAGTGCTGCTGCTGGTGGGATGAGGGAAGCCCTTGGAGGAGGCACAGACCTCCTGTGGGGTGGTACAAGCCAGCCAGGTACAAAGTATCCCTCTGCTACCTGGACTGTAGCCCTCAGGGATGGAAGTTACCAGCTGAGCCCAGGTCAAGGCTAACACCTATCTTAGGCTGGGTGTGGGAGCACCCACCCCCACATTTTCCCTGGTCCTAGACCCTGCCAGAGCCCAGAGGAGAACCAGATGCACAGAGATCCCCTGGAAGGGCTGCATGGATTGAGGGGAAAGGCTCCTCTGGGGGCAGAGCAGCTCTGCAGCATGTGTGTGGGATGGAAGTTGGTTTACTGTGTGCATGGTTTATTAGAGCTCCAGTTAAGTAGAAATGCTCCACTTCTCCACCATAAGGACAGGATGAGGTACAGGGGCCACACTGTCATCTGGAGCACTTCTTGGTCTTTCCCATTCCAACAATAGAGATCCATCCTAATGCATGGTGCATTTGCCTGGAGGTCACTCATCCCGTGGTGGGCACCAGCATGATGTCAAAGCGAGTCTGTAAACCCCTTCAAGCTGAGTGCAAATGCCATTGCTCCAGATCCCCTGCCCCACCAACTACATGATGCCAACTGTGACAAATTCCGTTTGCCAAATCCGGCTGTAAAATATATCTATGGAGTTGTACAACACACACAGATTGCTCAGCGAAGACAACTGCAATCAGCCATGGTGGAGCAGACAGGTCTGCAGGCACTGTGCAGCAGCAAGGCACCAGGATGAGGTCTGGTGCAGCACAGAAGATGCTGGCACAGTTATCAGCCAGCATGAATGGTTGGAGACACAGGATGTCTCAGGGTGGGCACCCCACAGGAACAGTCCGAGGACAGACACAGTGCAATGGGTCAGACCGGCCCTTGATAACATCTTAACCTCAACCACTGTGAAGCCTGAGCCTGAAGTCACTTTTTTTTTTCCTCCCAGTTTCTGATATGCAATTTCCTCCCCACCACCACATGGTTATCCCAATAGCGTGTGCTCTGCTTGGCCTTTCTCATGTGAGCTCCTGCAGGTCCTACAGCAGATTTGAGACCTCCTAACTGGAGAATGCCCCATGCTGGGGTCTCAGGCAAGCCCCTAGCACCACATAACTAGGGAAACACTTTGGCTCCAGGCACCTCATGGAGGACCCAGTCCTTGTGGCATGGCTCTGGGGCATGTCAGAAGAGTTTGCTCAGGAGAGATTGCCTGAGAGCAGAATCAGGGCCCTGATCAGGGCTGCAGGAGCACCTGGGAGCTCCCCTCCTCCTCTTCATCCTGCAGAGCACTCAGCCAAGTGACCCTGGGGCTGATGCGAGGGCCACGGTTACGGTGGTCCTGAGGTACCATGATCCATCCACCCCAGGCAGGAGGTTCTCCTCACCTCAGTGCACAGCTTGCTCTGGTCTTGGTGGTGAGCTGAACTCATCTCGGCCACCTCAGGTGGTTTTCAGCTTGAGCACCTTGGAAAGCGGCTCCTTGGCACTGGAGTAGAGGAGGTAGGAGCCCTCGGTGGTGTTAAACGCCTCCCAGTCTCTGCAGCCCACCGTGGGGAGGTGATGAACCGCTACGAAGCCTTCATAGCCTTGCCACCTGTGCAGGGAGGGTAGTTAACTTCGGGGGCACGAGCTGGGAACCCCATCTGGCATAGAACCAGGAAAGACAAACTGTGAGGGGGTTATCCTCCATCCCCATCCTGTGGTTTAGTGCAGGAGGATGCCCTTTGCTGGGGCTTCTTGCTCAACCAGTTAAAAAAAAACTGGGAGCTCTCCTATCTACCTCCTCTAGGAAGAGGCACCAGGGTCTATGGACATCACAGGGTCCTGAACCCTCCCAGTGAGTGTGACCTAGGCCTGTGCAGGCGCAGAGCCAGGCACAGCTCCGTGGCAGTGAGCAGAGGTGTCCCATGTCCCCACTGCTGCCCCCGCGGGCACGTCTGCGCTTCACCTCCCCACACAGGGCCAGGCCTGTGGGAGAGCTCGCCCTGCCCTGGCCGTGCCGCAGTACCTGTAGATAATACTGTTAACCGAGAAGGTGAAGCCATCAAAGGAGTTTGCTACCACCAGAAAAGAGTCGTCTCCCACCGAGAAGAACTCCCAGTCCAGGGCGCTGTGGCGTGAAGGAAGCACAGGTGTTGGTGAGACGGTCCCTCTGCGGCCAGGCCGAGGAAGGGGCTGCATGCAAACACGTCCTCCTTGCCCACAGGGTTGAGCCCAGCTTGCCCTGACGTCTGTTGGACCCACTCTGCCCAAGGTATTTAGTGTTTGGGCCCTTTCATCCTTCCTGAGTGGGACCCATCGGGGGAGAGGGATATAAAGCCCCAGGTTGAGGACTCCCAGCATGTTAGTCCTGAGCCTAGGACAGCAGAGTGGGTGCTTGCACATGTTAGACTTCACATGGTGCTCATACGAAGCAGGGTTGCTGGCACGGGCCAACAGGAATGCCACCACCACCCCAGTGACGGGTGACAAGACCCCATCCTCGCTTCCAGATCCAGGGAACTGGGTGCCCAGGGCGCATCACTCATTGTCCTCCCCACCTGCCTTGTCCCCTCAATATGCAAGCTTGCAGGAAGGCCTGGGGCCCACCAAAAGAACATTACACAGTTTGGGGGACTCATAGGAAGGATAATGGAGTGCCTCGGCTCTTTTTGCACAGGTACCTGTAGGTGAGTAGGTCCTGGAACTTGACAAACATCTGCGCAGTGATGTTCAGCTCGTAGATGGAGGAGTTTATGGCGTAGAAGTTGGAAGGCATGGATGTGCCACTGTCGTAGCTGTGGCTGTTCGCCACAGCCAGGAAGACTCTGTCCCCAATGTGAAAGACCTCCCAGTCAGCAGCCCCGAATGTCTGCAGGGGATGAAGCCATGTGAGAAACTGGGCGCAGACAAACCTTTGCAAGCCAAGCACACTGAAAAGTGTGGCAGGATTGCTGGAGGTGCAGGGAGAGGCCACCTGCTCTTAAAACTCTCTAGGGGAACAGAAGTAGACCTTACACGTTCACTCCTTAGGGAAGAACTACTAGGAAAGTGTCGCTGTCTTTGCAGACAACTGCCTCTGTAACTAGTCTCTGGCCTTACCTGAACCCCAGTGACATGTATTTAGAAGGGAAACTGAGGAACGGAGTTTTACTAGTTGCCAGTCCTTACCGGGATAGACTGGAAGAGCTGGAAAGAGCCACTGAGCCAGATGTAGATGTGAGAGTAGATCTTGGTGGATGTGCCGTTAAATGTGTTGGCCACGGCTAGGAAGGAATACGGCCCGATGGTGAAAAACTCCCAGTCATAGGCTCCAGAGGTAGGGATGGTCTGGTTGGTCTCAAACAGCCCCGTCCTGGGGTTCCACCTGTATATTACGCTGTCTATGTTGTGATTATTCCCTGAAGACAGAAAGACAGGCAAGTCAAGGAAAAGAAATGAATACTAAGCTCATATGAGAACTGAGACCCAGAAATGGTGGCAGCTATGCAAATACTTTGCGCTTTGAATACAGTTTGCTAGGAATAGATTGTTCCCCAAGAACCAACCAAAGCGCCTCCACCTCTCTGAAACATTGACTCAACGTTTCATGTGTTCTCAAGCACACGGTGATAGCTTCGCAGCCTTCCTTCCCAGCAGAGAGAAGCA